TCTTTAATTAAGGGGTATTGGGTTCTCTGGGGCACCTCTGGCTTGTGCTTTGTGCTTTTCGCGTTGCCATCGTAGTGGTGGCGGGGGCTGCAGGGAAAGTGGGAAGAGGAGCCGACTGCTGCTGCTGGTACCACTACCTCTGCGACAGCAACCACAAACAGACTGCTGCGGGTGCTGTTGACTAGTAACACGAAACATGTTAATTACGAACACTCTCCCGTTGTAGCACCAGTACTCGTACTGCTGTTTTTGGCTGCTCCTCTGAGGGTCAACTATTCCGCGGAGGTCTTTCATCCAGGCCACAGAAAAGGCACGCCGTGTCCTCAGTTGAGGGCGCACGCAAGCGTTTTCATCCAGCTCGAAGGGGCATTCAGGGTTGAAGAAGAATGTCGAAGAGGTGGAGAGAATAGGGTATCTTCAACAGACGTCTGGCTTGAAGTGTTTTGTCCACTGAGTCCACGCATTGCTGACAGCACCACGTTCTAAAAACAAACGACTGGAATGCTTCAAACCTGAACGTTCTGATAAGTATTCCCGGCATCTTTACAAATCCATTGCATCCCAAACTTCTTCCACGCACTTCTATATTTGGCTCTTGAGCGAAAAGCCAATCTCTCGCTCCGCAACTTGTTCTTTAAATTGCATTCCATCGAAGCCATGTGAAGCCCTCAACCCAAACCCAGAAGCCAATTTAGGGTTTCGGGCTCAAGGGAAACACCTGGAGCTTCGAAAGCTTAGCCTGCCGGCACACACCGGATCTGAGGCGCCTGTCTTCCAAACATCGTTCACAGCCCTAAGCCCTGAAACAAAGACACCACGACCAGGCCGAGTGGCGGCGGGGCCAAGGGGGCCACGGGCCTGCAAACACCTCGCGGAGCGGAAGCCAGCGGACTGCCACATGCCATCGCCACAATTGCAACTACATAAGACAGGGCAGGGACATTGCAGATGCTTGAAAGCTACACTGGGCATCACGAAAAACAGTTCCCTACTGAGCATTTGTGTGACACTGATGCTCACAGCTTTCACAAGTCCCGGTAACTTTTCAGAGATTCTTGGAACCTTAAAATCACCTTTTTACACAGGCTTGATGGAAGCTCAGCCACCCTGAAATCACCCGAACCCTAAACCCCCAGGCCCAAACCCTCAACTTCTAAGATACTTCTGACTCTGAACCCTTTGCATCCAGGCCTACCCCAAACCCCTGAATCCCCGAACCCTAAATCTCTCACCCTGCACCCTGAACGCCGCAAAAACCCCCCAAACCTCTCAGATAGTTCTGAACCCTGCACAAACCCCTAAGCCTCTGGATTCCCAAACCCTAAACCTCTGAGATTCAGAGGTACTTCTGAACCCTGTACCCTCTAGGAATTCCTAGGAATTTGTAGGATACCTAGGAATTCCTAGGAATTTGTAGGATTCTCTAAAAACCCTCAACCACCTCCCCAAGGCCTCGAGACCAGGCGCGGCGCCAGGCTCGAGGCCTGGGCTGCATGCTCCAGGCCTCGAGGGGGGCAGAATGTGGGTAGGGTTTAGGGTTTAGGGTTTAGGGTTTAGGGTTTAGGGTTTAGGGTATAGGGTTTTCATCTTTGGTTTTGCAGTCTACG